AATATAGTTATTATTTAGTATAGTTATTACATTATTTAAAGACCTATATAATAATTTTAAATAGGTAGGTATAGTTAAATACTAGAAGGTACAGCTACTAAAGCTAGTTAATAGCTAGCTCCTATATCTTTATAAGATAGATAAAGAGGATAATACTATATAATAGATAACTATTAATAAGATTATAGATCTTATTAGTATAGCCTATATTTATTATTAAGTTAGAAATATAATATATACGTCTTACTTTATTATTAATAAATATACTCTTTCTAAGTAGAATAGGCTGTAGAATATATAGTTACTTAGTAAATACCTTATAATAAGATATTAATAAGGTAAGCTATACTCTGTATACTACTACTATATTATAGTATAATATAGTAGGAAATAAGCTCTTTTATAAACTTACTATATATATTCTAAACTTATATAATATAGATAAGTAATATAGGCTGTATCTTCTTTATATTTACTAAATATACTTTAATAATATATAGGTTATTATAACCTCTCTAGAATTACTATTTAAGTATATATTTTATATATTTAACTTTAGATATAAGGTTTAGCACTTTCTCTTTTAAGTATATCTCTAATACTTTAGGCAAGGATTAGAAGTTTATAGAAATACTATATATAACTATAAGTATTTTAGAGAGTAACTAGCCCTTTAATTATAAAAATAACTAGCTCTTTAATTATAAAAATAACTAGCCCTTTAATTATAAGAATAACTAGCCCTTTAATTATAAGAATAACTAGCCCTTTAATTATAAGAATAATAAGTAGGCTAAGTAGTACTATAACTTAGAAGTTACTATTAACTTTTTTAAATAGTATTCTAAAAAGTTTAAAGTTAAAGACTAGTATAAAGTTAATATAAATATTTACTTTACTATTAGAGTAGAATTTTATTACTAACTTACTTTTAAAGAAGGCTGTAATTAATATAGCCTACTAGCTAGTTTAACTAAGAAGAAATAATATATTATACTCTAGCCCTTTTCTAGTACTTAATAAATTAGCAGCTATAAAGTTTACTATAAAGGGCTTAAGTTCTATTATTTAATTACCTTTAAAGTAGGCTGTAATTAAGATAGCCTACTAGCTAGTTTAATTAAGAAGAAATAATATATTATACTCTAACCCCTTTCTTAACCTTAATAGTCTAGTCTTCTAAGATAAGTAAGAAGAGGTTAAGTTAATCTAGATAAAATATAAAGCTAGAATAGTATAATACTTTAAAGTAATAATATTAAAATCTAATATATAAATAATACTTATTAATTAGAAGTAAGCCTTTAATTAGTATCTTTACTATAAATACTTAGCTATTAAGAAATATAAGAGAATTAGAAACCTAATAGCTACTAATATTATTATATTTAATAATTAATATATAAGAACGTACGTTAACTTTATACTTAAGCTAATATATTATAATTACAGTATATAGGACCTTATACCTACTAAGTTATAGGACTACCTTAATAGTAGTAAGAGTTAGATTTTATACCTACTAAGTTATAAGACTACCTTAATAGTAGTAAGAGTTAAATCTTATACCTACTAAGTTATAGGATTACCTTAATAGTAGTAAGAGTTAAATCTTATATCTACTAAGTTATAAGATTACCTTAATAGTAGTAAAAGCTAAATCTTATAAGACTAGATTAATAAGGTTAGGTAGTTAAATATAATTAGTACCTTACGTCTATATAATATTTAGTATATATACCTTTAGTACTAATTATATTTAACTACTTAACTTTATTAATCTATAGCTATAGTACTAATTATATTTAACTACTTAACCTTATTAATCTATAGCTATTTATATTCTAAGGGTTCTATAAATAAGATAGTTTAAATATACTATTTAGTATTACTTTCCTTATAAGTAGCTTTTTAAAGGTTTAATTTCTTATACTTTTTAGAATTTAGCTAAATAAATGGTTTAAAGTTATTTCTACTATAAAGATAGTTTTACTAAAGCCTTATTACTAGAAAGTTAACTTCTACTAAGTATAAGTATTTTAGCAGTTTTAATTATACTAAGATAAAAGATTTAGTTAGAAGATATTATATTATAAAATATAGTAGTTTCTATAGTAGACTTAGTAGTAATCTTTATAATACTAATATAGTAGTTATACTTAAAGGTAGTAGGTTCTACTACTATATTAGTATATAAATTAGTTATACTAGAATACTATCTTTAGGTAATAGATCTAGATATCTCTAATATAGAGCTATT